GATGTTCATTTGCAATTAAAAATATGTGAAGGTTTACGACCACCAATATTACCAGGAATGCCCAATGATTATGTACAAATGATGCAAAGGTGTTGGGATGTCGATCCATCAAAAAGACCAACTATTAGAGAGCTTTGGGAATTTGCTCGTAATAAATCAAAGGAAATTTATGAAGCAAAAATTTTGAATGAAACTAGCAGTGGTGGTGGTAGTGGTAACAGCAGTAATTCACAACAAATTCACAAATCACATCCATTAGCATATCATACAAGCAGAATATTAAATGATGAATTTGCTAAATTGAATTTAAGTAATGATAGCTTATTAAATTATGAAATATAATTTTAATAAGGCAAATTAAATAGTTGGTCAATTAATTGAAACCTATTAATTACAATAATAATAATAATAATAATAATAATACTAATAATAAGCAGTAGTTGATAAGATTAAAGTTGGAGAATTGTCGATGGGTAGATAATCACCATTTATTGATTATTTTTTCATTATTTTTCATATAGGATCTTATGTGTAAAATTTTTTTTTAATAAATTTATTCCCTAAAAACTTTATTGGTCATAATGTGTTTGCAACACTAATATTAATCATAAATGAAATTGACCTTTCAAGTGATTCTGAAAGTGAAAATGAATTTATACCAACTACCACGTTTTTAGTGAGTGATGTTCTTGAGGAGAAGAAGAAGAGGGCAAGAACGAGGAGCTGATGTTGAGGCTAATATAAAATTGGACTCTAGTATGCATTTCCCAATTTAGTATCAAGTATATAGTAAACAACAAGGGTTTAGGCTTAGAAAGTGGGTAGATTAGAAAAATTTGAAAATTGATATACTCTTGTTTGAAGGCATCAATAAAAAAAGAAACCATCTAAATCACAAAGGACAAACTATAATTGGTATTTAAATCTTTTGCATCTTATAAAAAAATAATCCAAATGGTTTTCTACATTTTATAATGAGCATTTGGTTATTTATCAACCCTGTGTTAAATGATATTAAATGATATTGAATGGCATTAAAACGGTACATATTAAAATTCGTGTGAATTGCTTTAAAAATTAAAAATATACTATGTGTACAAAATTTATTGCATTTTTGTCCAGGTACGCAGAAAACAAAGACCCTTCCTATATTCAACTTGTAAAATATTTAATGTCCGAATGACAAATTGTTACGCGTCCGTTCAATATAATAATACTGTAATATCAAAATAAAATACCCAAATTTTATTCTAATTCTTATCCGATATGCAATCAAATTTTTTTTGGAATTTATTGATTGACACGTACATATAGATTTTCAAAGTAGCTTTAATGTTAATCACCTTTGGTTCAAACATTAAATGTTACAAATCATTATTTCACCAAAAAAAAGTTAATCTGACCTCCTTTCGCCTAGGATATGACGCTAATGAAAATTCAAAGAGGTCTCTGAATCTTGTTAAGTTAGAATTTGGGTTTCGTCATTTTTTTGAAGGCCTGTTAAAAAGCTTCTCCTGCTTGGTTCGAAATGGTCATCATGTAGCACTGGCATTTAAATAAAATTTGAACAGTGCTCATCAAGAGATTTGTCTGAGCAAATTTGTTTCCAGAAATCATTGCCCCCACCATGAGGATAATTAAGAAGGAGCTTGCATAGACATGAAAATTTATTTTCAGAATAATTTTACAACTTCTAATTGTATACAATTGGGAAATACACAAGCACAAAATGAAGGGAATCAAATAGAGACTTGGTTACTAAAAATTTTATACTACCATTTGGATGGCAACTTTTATGAAAGGAGGCCAAGGATTTATTTATTTTTCAACCTGCCAAATTTCTCATCTTTTACTTGTCAGGACAATTTTCAAATTTGTTTCTTTAAAATTCATTTTACATGGTCTTGGACAATTATTTATTACGAATAATCATATGCATTGCATAACCAGCATGAATATTGTAATAGACATGATATGATTGTGGGGACAAAGGCATTCATATTCAAGGAAAAGATTAAATAACAACAAAAAAGAATAGGCAACGTTTTGTTTATTTTGATTCAACAACAACTAAAGGGAAAAAATAAATAAATAGTAATTTTGTTTTATATATACACTAGAACTTTGAATAAATTTTTGTTGTAATCAAATTTTGGAAATTTGCTATGAAAAAGTAAATTGAATATAACTTGGGATCTTTCAAAATATCTTCCAATAACAATAGTAATAGTAACGATCATAATGGTATGGGCGGTTGGTAGATATAAAGAAATAACTCAATGAGAGAAGAATGTCACATTGATGATTAATTTATATAATTATTACAACTATTTGATTCATTTTGATTTGTCTCTAACAAAATTGACCTTTTCTAAGGGAAGTGTGATGTGCTTACTATGTAAATTTATAACATATTAATCTTATTTGTATTATTCATTTGCACTTGAATTTGATGATTTCGTAAAGGTGATGATGTTTATTTATGCAAGTTCCAAATTTTTGGTACTCAAGTAAGCTTGCATGAATATTTACCAAAAATTTGAAAAATAGATTGAAGAATCCACTATATTGTTAAAATAAGTGATACACATGTATGCTACTAGTTTGTTAAATTAAAGAGCAAATAATATAAAAGGCAACAGAGAATGGACTCAAAAAACATTTCAATTAACAACTGCTCTATATGATGTGTTTTAGTCGGAACAATAAATTTGTCAAGTACAAATCTCCTGAAGACACTATAAATGTGTTTTAGCATGAACTATTGGTGGTTTATTAAAAGTTAATAACAAGATTTATTGGGACGGAATCAAATTTAAGAGGATTGCCATCATAAATCTTCTAGAATTCCATAAATTTGACCAAATAGTATCGAGGTCCTGGAAACTTTGAAAGAAGTGGCACTAAAAATAATCCCAGAGGTGTAGCCCTGGAGGAATAAGTGGAGATGGAGATGGTGGTAATAGTAGGAGCATTAGACATAGTGACAAATAACTGGAACACCACATCAATGGAACACTTAATGGAACAAGGGTATTATGTGCCACATTCGAACACTGGGATTTTCACATTCCAGTGTTCCGATGATTACAGTCTAAGCTCTCTATACCGAACCACTCTATAACGAACACATAGTAAAACCTCTCTATAATAATAACGAATTTCCCTTTTGTCCCCGATTCAATTTTTTATAATTAATTTCTCTCTCTATAACGAACAAAAGCAGAAAAATTACATATAAGGGACTGGAGGTTCGGTATATAGGGCTTAGACTGTATTCCAATGTTAACATACTTAATACTCACTTTTTATTTAACTCTCATTTTGAATAAAAAATGTCAAGAAAGCTTGGTGGAAAACCAAATCATATATTCCATGAACTTGTTCATACTGATAAAAATATAAGAGCAATTGTTTTGTAATATGTAAAGGATGTGTAACGAGAGGATTCAGTAATGCTAAAACAGAAGTGAAAAGCATCTTGAAATAAATTAAAGATTGCAAAAATAGATCAAAAAGGTCTAGCAAGTATTTAAAATTTTTATTTTTTAATTTTATACGGAACGGAATTTGTGAATTCCGAAATTAAAATAGAAAAGTTGATTGGTGGGCCAATCTGTACGATCTTCGATTCCATACTTTTGTTTCATTTTTTTACTACAGAGGCGCAGATGTACGGAATACGGAACCTCTATAGACTCCTTTTACTTCTGCTAAATCAATTAAAAAGAATGGAACACTGATTGTCACAATCCTAGAGTTTATGACTTATTTACTCCACGTGTAAAAGATGCAGTAGTCAGTACTACATGATTGGATTGGCAGATTCATCTGAAGATAATTCCATCTACTGAGACCAATAACGGTTATGATTGATTACCTTATGAATGTACCATTTTGGACCTTTGGTAAAGAAAAAATAGAGAAATATTAATGATCCGAGTAAAAAAATAAATAGAACTTATTTACAATGTTAATGATTTAAAAAAATATATAAGCAAAAGTCATTCATCAGGATCTCTTAATAGTGGAATGGATTACGAAAGATGCCCTTGGATGTACTGCACCAGGATTAGAACTCATACAATGAGCTATTTATAGGAGAGTAAGACCAGGACTTTCCGAGTTTTTATATTTGAATTAGCATATTAATATGGGTGTATGGATGCTAATCCAAATAAACGTCCACTGCTAAATGAATATTTGATATCTGAAATAAATAACGCTATTATTCTGAAGAGCAACTTGATCAATTAGAAAGGTTTTCAATGAAATGGAAAATTGATGATGTTAATCCCAATTACTATAATTCACCCAAATGCCCATTTATCAAGCTATAAATTACAATTATAATGACAAGTATTGCAAGATTTATTATTTATTTACTTCCCACATCAATCAAGTTATCCGTTAATATAATTTCATTTTTAAATTCTTTTTAAAATTAATTTCTTTAATCTTATCCCACTTTTATCTATTGATTGATTCATTATCACGGGTCCATCCTTGAGTTAATGATTATGGATCACATGCTCGAGAACACGGAAATTTTTTGTTGTTTGTTACAAGAGGGACATTTCTTTTTTGCGTCATCTTTAATATTAATAGAAATTGCTATAATAATTATTATTATTCACAGTATAGCATAATACTATATAATACATACATTGTGTACTAATATCAAGGTCGTTCGTGCAACTTACGGTTAAATTAGCGCATAATAATAATGATAATTAAAGGATTTACGGATAATGTTTATAGAGGAAATTGTGAATCTCCAAAAGAGGTCAAAAAGAAGGGAATTCTAAAATAATTATCGTTTTTTCTATCCAAAAAATTTATCCTTTGCATGTATGATTTTTTTTTTGAAATTATATATAATAAAAATAATAAAAATCAATATATTTTAGTTTTAAAAAATTAAAACATCGAATCAGCAACTTAAAATTTTAGTTAATTGAAAAATGGAAATACATGTAAATCCACCTTTACCAACGGAAACTATTTTTATTAACCTTAATCTCGATGAAGCCATTAACGACACACCCAAATTTCGTGTAAATGTTAGAAGGTTTGAGGAACAGGTTGATCATTTTGAAAAATGGTTAGAACTTTATTTAAAATCATTAAAACATTTTATAGAAGAGTCTATCAGTAAGTGATTTGCTTTTTTAATGTTCTCCAATTCCGTAAAAATACTTGTCAAAAGCAATCAGTAAAATCCTTATCTTTAAATTTTTAAAGAATTTATTGAGGCGAGTAATGTTTTGGCCAAACGTTCAATACCTTCTTCATCAGAAGATGCATTATTAGGTATGTATGTACAATTATGATCTGTAATAACAATATTATTATCGATGCAATCAATTAATTTAATCTTCTATTTGTTTCTTGATTTTGGATCGTTTCCACCCCTTCAATATCATTAGATCACGATTTCACACTTCCTGCAGCTAGAATCTTTGCAGATACATTTCAAACAACCTTAGCATTTAAACAAAAATTGGTAATTATGCTAATAATATTTAATTAATTAATTAATTTATTCTTATATTAATTATTATTATTATTATTACTAACTAACAATGAATAATAATAATAATCTTTAGGTTAATGATATTGATGAAAAACTTATACAGCCTTTATTGCAGTTTACAAAAACTGATCTTAAAGAATTTAAAGTATATGATTATTGCAATAACGTTATTAATGATAATGGTATATTTATCAGTAAAAAAAAAAAAAATAATAAATTGTATTTTAATTAGGACACACGTAGAAATTATGATCGTGCACTTGAACGTTATGAATCAATGTTGGCAAAATACACATCTCAATCTAAAAATAAAGAAGCAAGTGCATTACGTGAAGTTTGTATCCGTTTCTCTACATTAATCTTAAAAATTTATAGATATAATAAATTTTTGAGATTTAATTTTTTTAATTTTTAATTTTTAGGATGCTTTTCAATTATTTGAAGTCAGAAAAACTTACATAAGGGTATTATTAGATTATACCTTGAAAGCAATCCATTTCAGAACAACTCTGGATCATTTATTAATGGAACAGGTTATTGTCGCCATTACTATCATTACCATTACTGCTTGCTATTATTCTTTTAATAATTACTAGGTTTTTAGTCGATTTATTAATTTAATGATTGTTTAAATTACTATTTTTTAGTATTTGAATGGAACTTCTGCTCATTTAGAATTTCATGAAGCTAGCTTAACTGTTTACAAAAGTACCGAGAACCGATCAGAAAGATTGAAGGGTTGGCTATGGGAGGTAAATCCACTATTTGTTGTTGTTATATAATAACTATTATTTAGAATAATAATATTAATAATAGTTTTAATTATAAGAACAAAAAAGCATGCGAGCAACAAATGCCGCGACTTTTAAATCAAAGAAAGAAAGTAGAAGAAGTTTGTATACCCATTTAATATTTTATTTTTATCTTGCTTCGTACGTCACTTCATTTCTAATAAATAAATATATATATATATATATTTGATTTATATATTTAGGATGCAATAAATATTAATAAACCACAGAGAAAATTAACAAAATACACAGACAGTAGTAATTTCACATTAATGAATAATCAACAAATTAATGAGACATCAATACAGCCAAATCGTCCTCCTTCAATAGATCTTCCTTCTCCCTCAATAATGCCATCAAAACAAGGCTATCTTTTCATGAGAACTCCTTCAGGGAAGAATACATGGACCAGAAAATATTTGTATTTGAAAGATGGTATGATTTGGTGGTCTTCGATTGTACACGGTAAACATCGAAGCATCTCGGTGGGAGAAAGTGAGAAGATTGATGTACTCTTATGTGAAACTAGAATAGATACTTCTCAGGATAGAAGGTTCTGCTTTGAAATTGTCTATGGTGCTAAACAGTAAGTTTTACATTTATAATTAACTCATCAAATCTTCAAAGTAAATATCATCATGCATATTATACTAACCTTTCATTTTTGAAAATATCAAGAACCACGTGGTTACTACAAGCTGAAACAGAAGAGGAACTAAAAGAATGGATTAGCGTATTTGAGTCTGCAAAACGTTACGCATTCCGTACTTCCAACGATCTTTCTACTATTTCTACTGCTACTACTACTACTTCTTCCTCTTCTTCTTCAACATTAACAACAACATCAGCTTCTACCATATCTCATAAAGAACAAAAAGATGAGAATAGTATTAAAAATGAAGATGATGTTGTAAAGCAAGATGATTCAAATAAATCTTTATCATCGAACACAGTAGAAAATAACAATATTACAGAAAAATCTTCAACCGACACAAAACCTGCCGCGCATCATAATACTCTTACTACACCATCTCCTACTTTCAGCGCTGATTCATCATCTATGTCAACAACAAAAAAAAGAGCTGCTTCTATATCTACTGCAGTTCCCACACGACCTCCTTTAGCAGTAACACCACATCACAGTTATTCAACATCTTCTAAAATATTATTGTCAGCTACAGCTGCAGCTGCATCAACAGCGGCGACAACAGCAACAACACCAACACCTTCAAATAATAACAATGATGATGATAGTAATGATAACAACAACAACAACAACAACAACAACAGCAACAATGACAATGACAATAATAATAACAACAACAGCAACAACAACAACAACAACAACAACAACAACAACAACAACAACAACAACAACAACAACAACAACAATAATACAACAAGTTCAAATAACAATGTAACTTCACAGTCTTTATCAGGCGACAAAAATGCTACTACTCCATCAGCAAATCAACAGCACTTTTGGGGTACTATACAATGGGCATTACCTGCAGTAAATTTAATCATGAACACTGTTAATGGATCTGAAGGTGAAGATGGTGATGTTAATGCGGGAAGAAGAGGATCATCTCCTGCACTAAGCAAAGGCGGAAGGTCTCGTAGCGTTGGTGGACCTGTCGGTTTTGGCGCTGATGGTTCTATCGCAGTATATCCACAATCTTTATTGTTGCATAATGTGCAACTTCATTTGTTTTTCCAGGAAATGCTTGAAACCGAATTTGTGTTAGATGGTATGTAGTATGATGTGCATATCATTTCGAAAAGAAATATGGTATTAATTAATATCTAATTAAATGTCTTGTAAATATAATTCTAGTTTATCAATGTGCATGGCAAAAAGATGATACATTATTGAAAGGCCGAGTTTATCTTACCCAAGATAGATTTTATTTTTACTCTTTGATAATGAGCGTTGTTAATATGGTATTTGTTATATGTTTTTGATTTCTTAATTTGTCTTGAAAATATATTATTGTTTATTAATTTTAAATGAATTTCAAAGTTTTCAATAAGATGGAAAGATATAAAGTTCATTAAGCCAATTAATTCCGATTTCCAGCAAGTTTTGGAAATTTCAGTAAAAAATGAGGAAAATAAGGTAAATCCATTTTTCTTTCCAAATTTCATTATCAGTGATATTATTATTTATATAATAACCGATGACTTCACATAAAAAAATTTAGTATATTGTAAAGTCATTTTTTGATACAAGATCAACATTTTCTGACAAAATTAATTTAATATGGAAACTTGCAATCGATGAAAAGGTATGACAAAATATTATAAAAAACGCAAATATGCATATTCATATATGTTATTAATAATTATATCTTTAATCCTTTTTGGTGATAAATCAGCAAAAGACATTGCAAGAAAAGTTTAATTCTGTCTGGAATATCAAGAGTGCACCAAAATCAAAAATAGAGGGTTATAAATTAAATAATGATAATAATATTGCTACTTCTACTGCTAACAATAACGCCAGTGATAATTTAAAAAATGTCACGTCACAATTAGAAAAATTGATTTCTCCTCAAGATTTCAATAAAAATATTAACAATAATAATTTGGAGAGTAGCACTAATAACGATAGTCAAAATAAAGAAAAATCGTATGTTATTTTCCTTTTTCAATTTTTTATGATTACAAGTAAATAAAATTGCAATTTACTAATTTTCCGTTTCACTTTTATTTTTATAACAATAATAATTTGGACAAAAAACAAAACAAAACAAAAAAAAAAGAACCAAAGAAAAATTGACATTATCAACAAATGTTTCAGCGTCAGCGGAAGGTAAGAAACAAAAATTTAAACAAACAAAATACATACTTTAATTAATATTTATGAAAACATATGTTACTCTAGACGAAGATCTACCTTCAAATATTCCTCAACCAAGAGGACCAATCAGATGTGTTTGTACAAATCATCTTGAAAAGTTAGAGGCAGAAATTGAATATCCAGTTTCTGCTAAAAAACTATTTGATATGATATTTGATGAGAAAAGTACTTTGTGGTCAAGACTACATCATAAAAAAGGCAATATCTTACAACATAGCGGTCCTTGGGTTATTGATAATAGTGGTGAGGGAGAAAGAAAAAGAGAATTCAGATATATTATACCAATCAATAATCCAGCTGGTAAGTTATTTTAAAACCATGATTGAAAATTTCGATATTAATTATATCTTATAATTAACATTCTCACTCGTTATCTATTGTTAGCAAAAGTTAAAGAATCTGAATGTGTAGATGTACAAGTGTGTCAAAAAAGAGAAGAGTATTTGTAAGTGTATTAAATTATTTGTTTGACACAAAATTTTATCTATCTATATATTTATCTATTTATTAATTATTTATATAATAAACATCAGATGTTATTCTGTTTTAATATATACAAAAACTTTATCAACTCCATATAATAACGATTCATATAAGCCGATGTCCAACTTTTGTATTACGTATGTAAGCAAGACATCGTGTAAACTTACAATTCACATTGGTGTTAAGTTTAATAAATCATCAGTGGTTAAAGGTAATTTAAATTTTGAATTTTAATATTAATAATAATCTGTTATTTACCTATTATTATTATATTACTAGCTTCTATAAAAAAATCAGCCATGACAGGCTTATCAGAGACAATAGTTGATATACTTACAATATTGAATATTGACGTTGCACAACGCAAGAGCATAGTTTCGACTGTTTCGCCAATAAGACAACTTAATCATAGTTTAAGACGTCGTAGTCATCATCACCGTCATAAGTCACGCACAAGTTCTCACACAAGAACAGGCGCAAGTGGTGAAGACGCTAATTTTAATGATACTGCTACTATTGACAACGATAACAGCAATAATAATAATAATTCAACTTTTATATCTAAACTGAATTCTCTAAGACCTGGAAAATTTAATAATAATCAGCAATCAATAATTGAAGGACAACAAAAAGGATTTATATATGGAATCATTTCTATTATAATCGAAACTGTTTCAAATGTTTCATTAATCGGATTACTAGGAGCATTTTTATCTTTCTCTATATTATTTAATATATATATTTACACATCACTTAGCAATAAATATTCTGTGGCTCATACTCCTCCTCTTTCTTTTTCATCGCCTTCTTCAACATCATTATCACAAACGATACCAACACCTACTATAACAATGACAAATGGAAAAATTAGTACTAATGATGAAAGCAACAATGATAACAACAACAACAACAACAATAATAATTATATACCAGCAATATTTCTTAGGGATATAGAAGAAGGAATTTTCAATCATAGTGCAGGATTTATTGGCGGAAGAATTGATATTACAAGGTAAAAATTTCAATCAAACTTGAATAATTTTTATTTCCTCGTCCTCATCACCAATTAATTAACTGATTCATATGTTGTCTATTAAATAATTAGTCGTAAACAATTCCTTGAAACACGTATTCATAATCCACCGTATCCGTGGTTACTTGTTTCACATAGAAAATTATCAACTGAAATAGCAAATTCTCGTAAAAGATTAGGAATACTGAGATATGATTTATTATTAACATTCCAAATGGTAAATTCCATCGATAAGAAATTATTAGAAATAGAATACGTCAATTGGTTGTTAGACGAAAGAGCCAAATGTAACAAAGCAAAATGGATGTTAGTAAAAGATGAAATGTTTTTCGATGATTTTCAATCACCAAATGGAGAGGCGGAATCTAGAAGTAACAATAATGGTGATAGTGAAGATGTTAATGTAGATGATGCAACAACAACGACAACAAACAAAGATGATTCATATTATAGATTAAGAAGATTCAAATATGAAAATGAATTCAAATCGGTTATGAGATATTGTTATGATGTCAGAAAACAAATTGAAGGATTTTCTAGATAAATTGATCCTTCCATTTTTATTAATTGGGATGGGTTTAGCGATTGCGGATATTAATAACTACATATTAGCTTATTAATGTATATATTCATTCCTCTTGTAAAATATTAAAATAAATTTGTTATTTGATTTGTAATTGTATTAGAACTGTGTAATATGAAGATTATTCAACATTGTAATTCCAACTCTTGCAGATTCACACATTAAGGATACAGTCTAGCACGTGATCATTTATTAGTAAATCTAATTCCAAAATTTTTGTCATACCGGTAACCAAATAAGTGCCAAAAC